CTACTTTAAAAAAAAACCATTAAAAAAAAAAAAAAAAAAAGCAAAATACATCATCAAACATCTGAAAAAGGACAGACATTTATGAGAAACATGGTTTTCACAGTGCAGCGGTAATGATGGAATCAGAACGTAGCTCACAATTTAAATCACTGACACAGGGTTAATTTAGTTAGTCTGGAAGAGTTGCTGCATTTTCTTTTTTTCCCCCCACATGCTTTCATTAACCTAATCATATATCACTATTTTCTGTTGGAATAATTAGCACAATGACTTAAAAGAAATCAGTTGCTCAGCCATTATATTCTTTGTCTCCTGTGAACGCTTCACTCTGCCTCTGCCTCTCCATCAAAGTTTCATAATTAGAGCCAACTTCATCTTTCTTGTATTAAAGCACACAACACATTTTAAAAAGCAAACAGGCAGAAAACCTTCCAATAATTAATGAAGAACATGGAGATTTGCAGCTGTTATTGAGACCTGTGTGCTCATGTTCTAACAGATTTAGGACTTTGGGCTGTGTTTTTTTTGACTTTCTTTTTGACTTCAGATCAGGTGTTTGGCTGCAGTTTGTCCAGTTTGTGTCAGAAGGAAAACAGCACAGTGCCAGACTTTGTCAAGATGTGCATCGACCATGTAGAGAACAGCGGTGAGTCTGTCACTCTACCAGACCATCCTAAGGATGAAATTATTCTAATTTCATTGAACCTGCCAGTAGTTAAAGAACGGTGTGATTTACTGCCTCTTGATAGGTAGTGTCAGATGAGCTTTGGCTGATCTTATTTTTGGTTTATTCTTCGGGTACTCAAAGACAGTTTTGGCTGATCTTTGGTTTATTCTTCGGGTACTCAAAGAAAATTAAAGCAAACCTTATGAGTAACTTGCAGATACTACTGAACTGATATTTTCCTCCCATGATCCTCTGCAGGTCTGCATGTAGACGGGCTCTACAGAGTTAGTGGGAACCTGGCTGTCATACAAAAACTACGCTTTGCTGTCGATCATGGTGAGTTTCAGTTCCCTGAAAATGTTCCGGCTTAAAATGAAAATAATGGAGGGAACAGTGGTAAGACTGAGAGGTTATTTCTCCCTTTGAATTTCTGGCACTTTCATCTGGTGGTAGAAGGTGCTAAGTGCCTGTGGATGGTGCTGTGACTGAAGGGTTTATTGTGTGTGTGTGTGTGTCCAGATGAGAAGGTGAACCTGGCAGATGTGAAGTGGGAGGACATCCATGTGACCACTGGAGCTTTAAAGATGTACTTCAGAGAGCTGCCGGAGCCTCTCTTTACCTACGCTCGCTTCCATGACTTTATCAACGCTATCAGTAAGTGTTGCATACAGCTGTGACGGATGTCTGTGTCCATCAACTGAATGGGCTTTCTGTGTTACCAAGTATGTTGCCTTAGTTCAGAAACAAAATGGAAACCTATAGCTGCAAACAATGTTTTGCCAATTTTGTATTAAATCTAGGCTGATTACAGGGAAATGTTAAAAAGTGAAACATGTTATTCAAACTTTTACTCTCCAGTCGCAAATGAAAAATGAAATGGCTTCGCTTAGAAGCCTCAGTGAAACCAGCATGGACCACTGAGGCTCTGTGAGACATGTTCTTTTATATTGAAAAGAAAAGACTAATAAAAAGATATATATTTCACTATGTGAAATTTATTATACATTAACATATCAAAATAAGCATGTGCACATGGATCGTCACTGTTTAAGACAAACAGAAAAGACTGTCCTCAACTTGCCAGTATACAATATTTGTATGAAAAGATGTTACTATCTGATTGGTCCAAAACTGTTGGGGAGAAGTTGTGGTTTAAACTTAACTCTCCCAAGATTGGTCCTTCAGTCCGTCCATCCTCCAATCATCCTCTCTGCTCCAATGGTCGTGGACAGCGCCCTAAAAAGGGAGGAATACCTATACTGTCTTAATTCCTACATAGACACTTATGTCTTCCTTTGTTTCCAAGGAACTACTACATTTTAGGCATTGCTTTCTTGTTCCAATAAAACTGCTCTGCCTGTGTGTGTGTGTATATTGCCCCACCTTTGAAGTTGCTTCCTCTTCCTGTCTTCAGATCTAATCTCTGTTTCAACTATCCTAGGAATGGCTAACACCGTATACTGACCAGTGATTCAGTGCACACATAGGGTGGTATGTAACTACATAACATAAACACAACTGTGAAATTAAAATATATAAACTTATATATGCTATATAATAAAAACCCTAACTAATTATATTCATTTCTATCTAAAAATGAAAATCACCCTAACAGCTCCCACACCCCACTTGGAAAACCACGTACTTACTGATTAAGCACCAAAAACCTAGTCAAGAAAAAGTTTGTGCCAAATGTTTTGCAGTCCCATAAATCTCTAGCATCAAGGATACTTTTTCCCAGTTTTGTGTCAGTGAAATGGTAAGTTAAGGACTTAATGTAAATTCCTGTAACTAGCAGTTCTACATTTTTCACCCAGACCTGGATACATTTAATTTTTGTTTTTGTTTTTGTTTTTTTTTCTGCAGAGATTGCCCACTTCGAGCAGCGCGTCAAGTCTATCAGAGAGCTGGTGAGGCAGCTGCCCAAGCCCAACCATGACACCATGCAGGCCCTCTTCAAACACCTCAGGACGTAAGAAAAGCGATGTTCAACCCTTTTAATATGTGCCTATGTCGGTTTTTGGATGTTTCTTTGAATTTGAATTTTGTTGTACAGCAGGATTAATTGCAAACTGCTTAGCGGTACCTGAAAAAAGTATTAAGGGACAGGTTGACATGTTGCCGTGAAAATAAAGTGCTGAGTTTTATTAGTTGGTTGTTCTGTAAAAACAGTTCTTTATCAAGTCATTTTTTCATCTTACCAGCATCTAGTATCATTCTCTGACTATAATGCACTTCTCCTTCCCCTCCAGGGTGATTGACCACGGTGAGGAAAACCGTATGACCACCCAGAGCGTGGCTATAGTGTTCGGCCCCACGCTGCTACGGCCTGAGATGGAGACCTGGAACATGGCGGTCCATATGGTCTACCAGAACCAGATAGTGGAGCTAATACTCCTCAACTATGAGAGCATTTTCTGCAGGTAGATGGAGAAGCCAGAGGATGAGTCTTTTCCCCCCCCCCCCACGCCGCGCCCCTCCTACCCAGCTTGGCCTGGCTCAGCCTGGCCCTTCACAGCCCAGGGTAGCTTCTCTTTATCTCAAACTAACCTGTAGTTACTGGCTTCTCCTGCTCTTGCAACATCCAGACAAAAGCCAACGCAAATATGTCTCATGAACCAAAACATAGATGTAACTAACTAGTGACCAAAAAGTTTAGATTCCTTGCAGGTTTCAGTATCTCATTTTCTCCTGCAGCTACATTTGTGCCACTTTGCTGCAAAGATGATATTCTCCTGTCCTAACACTGGATTCCTCAAACTAATGATACGACTACTGTACAGAGACTGAGACCAAAGGAGCTGCAGAAGAGTGAGCCTCAGTAGCCTCTATAATAGAGGAGATGTCAGTATTGGAGGTTTATGATACTGAATGCAGCCTGTATATACCGCAGTGTAAATCTCATCATTTGTATAGACTCCTGTACGTCTTCCTGTATGAACCACACTGGGGAACCAACAGAGGAAATCAAACTGCCCTCTAGCCTTGGCTTGGCTTTAAAGGTTTAGAAGCTAAGAAGAAACAAGTTGAAGCTAGAACAAGAAGAAGGGATATGGATTTTTTTTTTTTTTTTTTTTTACTTAGGAATGGTACATTGTTAAATACCTTTTTTTTGTTTTACTCTTTCTGTATTAAGTTCTTTTTCACTTTCCTTATTTTAAATGTTTTATTCTCTTTCATCTTCCTAGTCTCATTTTCCCCTCAAATACTGAACCAGGGTCCCCTAAACACTATCACCACTCTGTATTATATCTGCATGCCATCTCCTCCATTTGGCGTTTAGAACAAATCATCTTCCAACTGTCAGAGCATCAACTTGAAAACAAACCGTGGTACACAGCTGCAACAGATTACAACCTTCTTTAAACACGTCTCCATTGATACTTTGTACAGTGTTTGTGTGTGCATATGAGTGTGCATCTGTGTTTGGGAGTGCGGATGAATGGATTTAATTACCATATATTGTACAGATAGTAAATATAATTACATACTGTTTGCCTGTAGTGTTAAAAACTGAGGGAGAAATCACTATTTTGTGATAATTGTGTAACCAGCCGACAATGAGGAACAGATACATACATAATGAGCTGGAGATGTGGAGGTTTACCTGTGTGTCAGTGTGAATGTTACTTTGCAGAGTAAATGCTGTTGGCTTTATTAAACTGGAATAAAAGCATCTAATATGAGATGTTCCCAAGGAGATATTCTGTATGTTGTGCTTATGCTTACTTAGACTGTTAGTCTTCACCTGTTCAATTTAGCTTCATTTTAAGAATGACAGCTTTACATTATTTTGCATATTTCTGCATTACCAGTAATTTCCAGAATCAAATTTCTGGTGGCCCAATTTTAAAGTCCAATGAAAGTCATCACTTACAGTGGGTACGGAAAGTATTCAGACCCCCTTAAATTTTTCACTTTTTGTTATATTGCAGCCATATGCTAAAATCATTTAAGTTCATTTTTTTCCTCATTAATGTACACACAGCACCCCATATTGACAGAAAAACACAGAATTTTTGACATTTTTGCAGATTTATTAAAAAA